GGTGAAGGGAGCTTTGGGTCGACCGGGCAGTGCGGTCAAACTGAGCAAGAGTGTGTTCTCGGAGAGCCAGCTCGGGCTGGCGGTGACGTCTTTGAGGGCGGGGCTGGCAGATAGTTGGAGAGGGAATGTCGCCCACGACGGGCTGGGAACTGCAGACTCCGACGTGGACAGATACCTCGCGGAGCTGGTTGTTGGGAGCCATGAGAGGGCTGCATGTGCAAGGGAGAACTGCTTCTGCAAGCAGCATCCGAGGGCGTTCGGAGGCATTACCCCCGATGGAGAACCCTGTATGGCAAGGTGTTGCACTTCTGCACAAACGAACGGAAAGCGAGATCGATCGGGGCAAACAGGAAGTTCCGGTGAGGTTGCTGGAACAGCCGCGAGATCGATCAAACGGAGGGGCAAATCACACTAGGCGGCTAACTCGGAGCATGCAGAGATGGAGCAGCTAGATGCTGCAAGAGGCAGTATGGAGGAGGTCGAGCCGGATGCAGATGGGGTTCCCCTGGAGGGGACGGGGCGGAGTAAGGATAACGCCCTCCGGATCGATGATCAAGCACCGTTTCTCATCCCGGTGTGTAACGCCTGCGCGTGCCCCTCCAGCACGTGCACACATGGTGCATCCAGCGGTATTGCAGCGGTCCTGCCCATGGATGCTGAGGGCGTTCAGCTGGAGGTGCCCAAGCTCGTTCGCCCAACGGATTCTTGGCAAGTCCATGACCCCGAGGTGCTGCTGCTGCGGAACCCGGTCAGAGTTAGCGAGCTGACGGCCCGGGATTTTGGGGAGCTGAGCGCTGCAGGGGTCCTCTCAGCTCCGTGCCCCAGATCGGCTCCACCTTGCGGAACCAAATGGTCGGGGCTCTGGCAGAGAGCACAAATTCACGATTTGGGTTGGTCCCAGGAGGTAAGCGCCACGATGCATAGCTCTGTAGCCTTTTGATCTTCTTGCAAATGTTGATTAAGATAAGAGTGTCCGACAGCATATGAAGACATCTTCCATGCGGAGTTCACTCAATTGGATCCGAGCACGCGCGTCGAGGATAAATCAAAGCCTTGCAATGTCTAGAATCTGATTTTTCAACCAAACACCAACTATTAATCAACAATCGACGCTCGTATCATGTTCTCGTGCAGGTCAAGCTCCGGATCTATTGCTGCGCGTGCCCAAAGAAGCACACCGTTCACTTCAACGGAGAGGCGCTCGGTCTGTACGCCTGGACGCGAGGGGTGGTCATTACGCAAGCCGCTTGCCAGTTTATGCTGCGGTCCGTACAACACTCAGGAGCCGCTTTCAATGCACTCGTTGCAGCTGCAAGTACGGCATGGCGTCTCTACAACCCCAGCGCAACTCTCTTGACAGAAGAGACTTGGCGCAAGGCTAGCCTCGGCTTCTTCAAGTTGTGCGGACGGCAGATCATGGAGTGCTGCAGCCTTTGCGGCCCGCATCCAGAGGTATGTGCGGAGACACTTCCATGGAGGCGATATATGAAGGCTCGTTTCTCATTGTTCGACCGCGTTCTCCATTGTTTGACCGCCTTTTGCTACTAACGCGACCAAACAGAGACGAGGTTTTCTTAGGCAGATCACATTGACGAGCGTGATCATTTTCTTGTGAACACTAGGTACTCCTGTGCGACGGCATTGTCGGGCTTGCCTGCGCTGACGGCACGCGTCAGAAGGGCGGTCTGGCTGGAACGGATGCCGCTCAGCTCCGACCGTTCACGGCACCTAGTCGAGGCTCGGACGGAGTCAACGTGCGGAAGGTCATGGAGGCTGGAAGCAACTACTGCGCGGCGTCTCTTTCCGGTGGAGGCCTAAAAAGGCGTTTTATGCAGCAACCGGAGATCCGGACGCTTATAGCGCGGTACAGTGTTCACCACGCTGCTGACCCGGAGCTGGGAAAGGCTCTTAGCTCTCGAGAATACGAGGAGCTTCTGGTGAGTTTCGATCTGAAATCGAGCCGCTATGTGTATGATAAGCTATCCGACTTGTACAAATGTATCAATCCTCTTTTCCAAGCAAGCAAATCGACAACAGTTCAGGCATCCGTTTGCTCAAGCACGGCGTCTTTCTGTGCAGGTCGCGCTCGATAGAGACGACGTGCAAGTTGTCACAGACTTCGTTCCGGACCCGGATGATGCCGACGCGGACCCCGTCCTCCTGCAATGGCGCCGGTGGGTCCGGGCGGACCAGGTCGGCCAGATGCGTTCGAAGAACAAAGTGGGGCACGAGCTGGTCGACGGCATCGAGAGAGAAGTCATGCAAGAGGAGGCTTGCTGGCCTCTGCACTGCCCCAGCAGATGGGCGGAGCTGCTCTACACTCTCGGCGCGCCGCACTCGGTCTCGGACGATTCCAACCTCATCCAGCATGGGAAGGCTCTGAGTGTGGTCCGCAAGCTGCTCCTCGGGGGAGCCGCAAACGACGACGACAGGGTCGTGCTAGCAGAGCACTCTCCAATCCTGCGCCGGCTGCTGGACCACTACGGCGACCGCTACCCTCGCTTTTTCTATCCGACGCTACATCATCTCTACCGGTTGACGCTCTTTGGACGTGGAGCCGTGGGACTCGGGGTTGGGCGGGCGGGGTGGGCGTTGTCGGCCATCGAAGGCCTCGATGTCTGCGTCTGGCTTGGGCGAGATGTCTGCGTCTGACCGTCGAGCAGCAGCAGGCCTTCGACTTCTGGGCAGCCCGGGCGAACGCGCTCCTCCCGGCGGTCGAAAACCTTTCCCCTCCCGCACCGCACGAGTACGCTCTGCTCCCGCCTAAGAGGACGTTGCTGAACGACAGACTTGGTCTCAAGCCAGACGGGTCGGAGCCAGGGCCTCTCCCTGCGGATCATCCCTACGGTCGGGAGCAACGAGAGCTGGGCTGCTACCCGCTTCCAGGGTGGGCGCAGAAACGCCCCCTCCCGCAATACGAACCGTTCGAAGACGACCTCGGTAGGTCTCGCGAGCGCGACGAGGAGCATCGGTGTCGGAGCGGGCTCACCCAT